TGAACAAAGCGGAAAAGCACGAAGAAATTATTAAGTAAAGTCCTCTACGGGTATGTGGTCATTTCGTCACAATTGGAGCGCGCTATTTCTTAGACTACCCCTAGCGCTCTCAGTTCATTTATTGGTTCGTGGATTCCGATGATAGGAATGTTCAGAGGAATAATTCCCGGAAAATTCTTGCTTTCCCAATATCAATGTGTGAGTTGTGATCACTACAGACAACACACAAAGTTTCACGCACGATGATTCGGTTTCCAAAGAGAGACAAACTCATGAAAACCACACCATAGACAATCAAAGGTAAGTCGCGCGGAGTCAAGGTGGGATATTGAGGTCCGTCCTGGGGCGCACGTATAAGGCGAAAGATGAAAGAATCGGTTTAAAGCGTTTGATGATTTTGGAGAATAGGACAAAGGGATCCATGGAATAGGATACAGCAGAAGTATAAACCTACAAGTCAAAAGAAATCAGCACACAGCTACACGTAACAGCACTCCCAAGAACCAATTGAAAGCGTTCCCGCCGCCAGCATTTGTGTCAGATGTCCGGCGGAACTTGAACGCGTAGCAGCTCTTTCGGTTTTTCGAATTGCTTACCAAAACAAATGCATTTTTTTGTTCTTTTCGTTCTTATCGTGGAACGATGGGTCTCAAGCCAGTGATTCATGGTGAGATAGGATCGCGATTTTTCCGGGAAGGATTCCTTAAGGTTCGGATCAGAGGATGACGATTTAGCGAATCGCGACGTCGACCTGCCAGCGGATCACCCAACTGCCTAATCGCGGAATCTCCATTTCTACGAATACATCCCTTCAGCGCAATTGATATGTCAATCTCCGCCCTTTTCCGTAGCAATCATTCAGAATATGACGTCCCGAAACAGTATTACAGATCGTTGTAATATTGTGAGAAACTGTTTTAATTTGCGACAATGTCGTTGACGTAAGTGTCAAGACGCGTTTATCGCTCAGGGTTTGAAAATTACGATGCCATTGTACAGGTCGCACGTCGTGTTATTCCCAAACATGGAAGGAAACCCAAATTAAAGCATGCAGTACAGGACCTCTGTGAATTCTCATCGTGAGAATTCATCTCACCAAACCTTCTAGCACTTTTTCGTGACATAGAAAAGTCAGATCAGCCTATTGACACAACCCCGATAGTAGGTCATGTGAAGAATATGTTTGTGGGTGGGATAGGATGCTTCGAGTATCAAGAATGTTGTCTGCGCTCCAAAGTGTGCGATGATCGCGCTAGGGCCTTATAATGGTGATCTGATGGCCACTAATTTCAATTTATGGACGAGATACCTTGCACTCGCCCTCACGCAACGTGGATACGAAATAGGGGATAAGATCCTAAAGAATAACTAGACAGGGTAGCCTTTTCGCTAGGGCGCAGTTGCGTTAAAATCTCGTCTAGGCACATCCTTTCCACGCCATAATTATCATTCGTTGCTACTCCACCGATTTGAACTGGGGTTGATGTGTTTTGAGTGTTGCCCTCTATAGCTCAAGAGGATCGCCACAATTATTACAGATACGTGCCTTATTATTGTGGCGCATTTAAACATTGCCAGGCTATAACTGCTTTTATAGAGGGTATTTGCTTTTTGATTCTTAGTTTTATGTCCGTATCAAAAAGCAAGAAATGACTTTTCTACACCTAGCACAGCAGATTTTTTCTGGGATACGTCTTTCTGTAAAAAATGGACTCTCGCAACTGAGACAAACACTTATGGACACCACAAGGGAGCTCGGGAGGGTCTGTGTTTGTCCTCGGCACAGAGGCGGTCTATTTAACTCCGTTCCCGTCCAATATGATCGATTTCGCACATATCGATCGCCCCAAAATCCCATAAATTTGATCAGGGGCATAAACAGAAGTAGTAATTCCAAAATTTCCGATCTACTTTTTCTCTGATGGAAATTATTCTAACTCAACTCCCTGCTTCGCTCTCTTCATTACTTCTTTCATTGTGTTTGCTAACTCCAAAAGATTAGTAGAACTTGCCCTGTGATGATTTTGTCGCGATTCAAAGCTGAACATAATCTGCGGCACAGCCATATGTTACCATTCAGATTCCTATGGACATTTGAGAAACGCACTCTGTGCTGTAATTGTTTATAACAGATCCACCCTGGCTAGAATTTGAACGATAAGGGTTTCTAAGCAGTGAAAAGTTGGCGAAAAGCGGAAAATTGTTCTGTCTTGTGGAACACATGCATGCATCAGCTTAAGAGACTCGGACGCCCCACTAAAACTGACTAAGGTTTGAGGAAGTAATATTTGTTATATAATTCTTGATGGGAACAAAAACAGAATTTAACGGCGAAAAAATAAAGGCGAATTTACATCTTTAGAATCCGCGGCCAGTGCTTTGACGTGGGTTGTGTATGTGTCGCAAGAACAGATCAAACACTAGGTTTTTGACGATAGGTTGGGATTGCGGGTTCTGGATATCTGTCAACCGCGAGGCTAGGTAATTCGTTTTTTGTTGTGCTGTCTGGGACCTCTCACACAAGCGCAATATTACAGAATCACCGCTTTCTTTACCTCCTTTGAAAGGCTTAGTTCCACTACCACAAAGAACGTCTGCTTTTCCTACTACACTCTCACCCCCTGGTTGACAGAAGCCCCTTGTCGCGGACTTGCGGATTTTCTTTAGTTCTAGCGAGTACTCATCAATAGCGATGTAGTTCCAAATGGACAATTCGCTATTCTATTCTATCATGGTAATGAATATCATTTATCAGTTTTGTCCAATTCGTAACACGCCCACTTCACCGACCGGTATCCACCTGGCTGGAATAGCGCGTATTATACGCGTTGATGACGTGTCGCTTGCAGTTTGGCGCATTGTCAGACAATGCACAGGCTTTTATGGTTTCTTTCTCTGATAAGAGGTGGTCTTTATAAATAGTTTGATTGCTTCATTCATGTGCATGTCTTCGCGTGTGATTCAGTGGCGGTGATGGACACATTCTTCGTCAATGTATTGAGAAACATCCGTCAAAACAATTATTCTACAGCGTGATAAGCAAATATTGGTTGTGTTCAGCGTGACTAGAAGTGAGAAGTAGTTCTGTGACTTCCATGTTAAGATGTTTTAATTCTCTGTTTCTTGTTGTCTTAGCAGAGCACTTCAAAGTGGTTTATTTTGAGCGTCGTTCTGGCTAAACTTGGACAGCTTGTAATGTCTTATATGATGGTTATCCCCAATTTTTGCAGCCCAGCTCCTCTCAGCTGTGTACTGATTTAGGCTAATTGGAAGGGCAGGTAGCAGAGCTTATTTACCGGCTGCGTCCTGAGTATACACCAGCCATGTTTGTAGAAGCGCGCAGCAAGCGCTCTTTGCTCTACATTGGAAGCTTTGAAGTTGAATGGGATGCTTTGAACTCATGGGAGAATATTTAACCCGCAGGCTTTGCAGGAGCTCATTAGTACCGAAAATGGATGCTTAGGGACCTATATTGTGAGTCGCTAATGAGTTCTGTAGGGTCAGCAGCTACTAGTGTAGGATTTTCTGAACTCTATTTTGATCTCATTTCTTATTTTTGGATCCAGCAAAGCTCCTGTGAGTAAGGGTTATTCGTCAGCGCAACGATGGAACATTTTGTTTCGCTCCTCTTTTTTGTTGAATTGTATAATTCCACCATTATTGCTGCATCCTTATGCCAATATGGTGAGGACGGCTTGCCTTCTAAACATTGCCGTCAGCGACATGCTTTCGCGTCACTTTTCCACTATGGATTCGTCCGCGTTTTTTCCCGGCTGTTTTAATAATATCATTCTCTAGAACTTTGTGTACACTATCGTATCCGGGAGAAGTACATCCATTGTCGGTGCTAACTTAGTGAAGGGGGACCACGAGGCGGCGCGGTGCTCCGTCTTCTGTATCTTTAAAGGTTCGTCCTAGAGCAGATTCTATTTTTGCCAGGCACGTCAGCAAGATATTCAACACGTGCATGAGCATAATGCAGGCAATTGTAAGCCTGAACCAGGAAGGTTTCTTTCAGGGCGTGCCAAGCTTTTTGAAAACGGTCTTTTGCATGATATAGGGGCAGATGCGGGACCACAGAACCATGTTAAATTTTTCCTGAACGGCCCTCTGAATACCAGAAAAGGGGGTCCCTAGTTCGATTCCTCTTGGTGACAAATTTTTGCATTTCGAGTTGACGTTCCAAAATTCGCGCAAAATGGAGTTAGCATGAATAATTAGTACTCGATAACTTTTCATTGGGTTTTAGGACGTTCAGTAACTCGCTTTAAAAATAGTCTTTGCTTAAACATTGGTGCGGTGTGGACCAATGCAGGCCCCACTTGTATGTGTGTCATACTGTCTTTTTACTGCGTTTCATGAAAAGTCTTTGTAAGAGTCCCTTTGAAGGTCCCAATTTATTAATTGTGGGGCTCTAGATTATTATTGTCTAACTCTTAGTCCTTTTGCGCGAATTTTGTGAACGTCAACTCGAAATGCAAAAATTTGTCACCAAGAGGAATCGAACTAGGGACCCCTTTTCTGGTATTCAGAGGGCCGTTCAGGAAAAATTGAACATGGTTCTGTGGTTCCCGCATCTGCCCCTATATCATGCAAAAGACCGTTTTCAAAAAGCTTGTCACGCCCTGAAAGACCGGTGCAAGGATACAAGGCGGAAGAGAGCGCGCCTGAAGAGTGGTCCATCAGTTCGCACCTCTATGTATCATTATGAGTAACGGCATTATCACTAACGCATTATTAGTAACGGAGTCGCTAAAGGTGTAATGATGATTTTGAAAAGAAATCTGATAAAAATATACCGATAGATGCATAGTGGGCTGTTGCCAGTGTACTTAACGTGCATCTGATGGTCTGAAAAATGGGTTACGTTTTGTTTGCTCCGTGTTTGTTTGAATGTGCTGTTTTCTTTTTCCGTATTGTTAAATTGAGTTGTTGATTTTCACGCCATCGGATTTTGTTGTTAATGTGTCACCTATTAGTCAACCCTTTTCATTTCAGGGATGCATTGGGTATGGGGAGTACTCGCCATCGTCGGAATGACGATGGGTCAGAGTCCCGTTTTCAAGAGGTTCGAGTACAAACATTCGTTCCGTGCCCCGAATCTTGCTCACGTGACGGCTCCATACCCTTTTGGATGGTGAGAAATATCGATTCGCGATACACTCTTTGTTATTGACGTAGATACGATTTGCTCAGCTGTGCAAATTTTTCACTCAACAGGGAGCTCTACAGCTGTGCGAGAATGAAATTGTGCCATGTGGGAAACTTGCGTTAGTCGTTATTAGCGTGATGTGACAATGAAGAAGTGTTTTTACTTCACGTAATTCAGTGCTTATTAGTAATCACTGCCATCGTTTTGCAGATTAAAATTCGCCTCTTTCCTTAGTTTTGTAGTTCTTGACAAATTTGTTCAAAGCTCTATAACTTTTTTTTACCGGTCTGGTGATGCCATGGTCACGACGCAGTATGCGTATTGCGGCTTCGATCGACACATCCGTAAGGATATTCATGGACAGCGGCCGCATGGATGGAGAGTGAGAATTCCATGGTAGGGATCTTTGGCTCATCTTTTTGAAAGATTGAGTTTTATGAGGAGTACGGCAGTCTGTTTTAGTATCTTTAGGCTTTTTGATTCTTAGCGTACTGATGCTCTCTAGTGTCATTCCTTAGATGCTGTTATGAGTAGTTCGCTCTTACTATTTGTAATAGCGTTTTTTGCTTTAGATTTGATTCATTGAAATTACCGGTCAAGGACGAATAGGAGCGGATGGAATGGCAATTTGGTGGGTATTTGTAGCTTCACTACAAGTTCCATACTTTTGTAGAGTGCTTTGTTCAGGTACACTGCTCAGATGGGTGCGCTAGGTCCGGTGTTCGGTGCCAACGACTTCTGGACCGGAATGGGTCAGTGTAGAATCTCATGCTTTCGTAAATTCGTGAACTGTTAGGAAACTGAGATCAGTGGTTTGGGGTAGCTGGAAGGAACATATGCACACCTCATTTTTAGAGGGCAATGATTTGAGGATAAGCTTCTTGCATTTTCTCTTCATGCACCCGTCTTCTCAAAAGTTTCTAACCATAATCTACGTCTCATGAGGATATTTTCGGACAAAGACTCAAGCTCTCGCAACATCGTGGAAATTTACCTGTTTCGTAATTCTAGTTTATGAAACCGGTTTTTTTCAATTAGAAATAAAAATAAGGTGATCCACGATTTTATCACTTTACATGTGAATGCTGATAAGTTATGGTATCTTTTCCATCGTACTGGGATGGGTGAAATGTGCTCGGTCGGTGTGATAGTTATACGATGTCCTGAAAGGAAGAGATCCGGGTACGAATCCGGCTGGGGCGAAAGTTTGGTCCACAACTCAGCATTCTTGTGATAATCGTAATTTAGTTGACAGTAACCGTAAGTGTGTTTTTGTGTAGTGTGGTCCACATTGAAGGCATTTGTTTCAAAAAATTCGGTTATCATTCATTTTAGTAGTCGAAATCACTCCAAATTATTAGTTCCTTCAATATGTTTCTGCAGGCATATTTTCCTTGACTCGTTTGATAACGATGGGCAGAAAAATAACCCGATGATCGCCTCATGATGAACGATGGAACTCGTTTCGTATGATCATCATACAGATGGGAGCCAGCAGATTCTTAGCAGTACGTTCATGCTAAATGATTATTTTTTGCTACTGTCTCTGCATTACGCTTCGTCGTAATGTTATCTAATTAGGTTGTCACCGAGACTTCCGCAACAAGCCGCATCCAATTCGACTTCGTATTGAATATCTGAGGAACGTACTGAGCGTATTCGTCGACGACGGCATGCAGCCAACTCCCAGATATGAGGCGTGCATAAGGTCTTGTTTGTTATTTTGTTTTTCTTTTTTTTTATCTCGAATTCGTTTATTTCTCAGAAGACTTATCAATTTTTACTCTTACTCTTCATTACTTTTTATTCAGTCGACGGTCACCGCAGGGTAGGCCTTGCTAAGCCGCTACAGGCGTATTTTGCCGTGCAACGGATCGCGTTTTGTTAACTTTTCTCAAATTTTTTGAAGTTCTGAAGGTTTCAAATTTTGTGAATCTGCTAACACATTCCTGAAACACTAAGCAGATTTTTCTTGTATATATTCAAAAATTCGCCTCCTTCATGCTTGACGATTCCCTCCCTCAAAATAGTCAACAGCGTTCCTTAACCCATAACGGACGGCCAGTGTATTTTTCGCGTGCGCCACCATGTGGCGCACGCCGCCACCCAGGGTAGGGTTTATGTAGGCTTATGTGAACAGCAGGGGTAAGACGGGGCTAAAGTAGGTGTCGGAGTCTCATCATCCGGAAAGAGATTTCCGTTGACGACAAGTTCGTAGCCCGCCTTTCCGCTCTAAAACTAGGGTGCAAAGAATGAATGGAAGCTGTAGGTGACATTATCGAAAAATGCGAAACAACAACCCCGAGCAAGGATGTGGCTATATTTAGGGGAAGGGGTCTCGGGACGTGCGAACCATGGGTAAGCCACCCATCAAATAGTAAACTTATGTAAATTAAGACAAAATGTATGTAAAATTTATTGTAGGTTTGTCAAAAATCCAGCCGTCCAGGTCCTGGGAAGATATGTTATTCCACATTGCTGAGAGTATATATGGGTATATTAAGATTGCTAGAAACATTCCAAAAACAAAAGAAATAGTCGTGCGCCACCTTGTGGCGCACGCCGTCCGTTATGGGTTAATTGATTTCTGATGGCGACTTACCTTGCTATAGGTTGTAACGACGAGAGAAAGTGGTGCAGGCGATGGTCTTACATGTGGGTGTACTAATGTCACTACGTACTTCGAGATTAGAAAAAAAAAACGTTTTTTCGATCTTGCAGTTAGCAGAGGCATAAGTTCGACCGTAAAAACACGATCTTTCAACACCGCATCTCGCTTTCATGATGAATTCACCGAGATCTCTTTTTGTATGGACACGGGCTGCCTCCCAGCTCAGAAAATCCATCATTCTCTTTTTTCGAGTGAGAAGAGCAAGCTTCAATAAAATTGCCACCTTTTATTGCTCAGAGACGAAAGATTTTGATGGCTGAAGTGGTGTTCACATATAAAATAACCACGCACAGCTGTGTCGCGCCGGCATGGACGCCTTGCTCCTCGCATAAGCTCAGAAGCATCGGGGTTCACCCTGCTTAGGAGCGGCGTTCATGTCGGCGTGAGGGTACGATCGGGGACTTACGCTGCGCCCGCTCTCGCCACTGTCCACGCGGGGGTTAATACACCAAAGGCCCTAGCAGCCCCTATGGTTACCGCGCTGCTTACCCGAACCGATTGACCTACGCCATGCCACACAAATATGGACTACGGCCATCGCGGCCTACGACGGTGGCCCTTAACCTAGCCTACGAACGTTTCATATATTTTACACCTAGCTCGAGCATCTGTAAAACAAGTACACTACGGTAGAATCACCGTTTGATGACTTAATAAAGCAACACACACCACGAATAACCCCATAGATTCATGTAAACTCTACTATAAGCAAATACTATGAAAAAGAATGATAAACACTTCTACGATATGAAAGCCACGACCTACGAACTCACGGGTCGAACCCAGTGCTCAATCCTTACGGGGGGAGACGTGGTAGCGGTCCTACGGTCCATCTCGGGCATCCATGCCCTTCTTACTTCTGACTCCATACATGGATACCAAACGGCGACGTAACGACGAACAGCAGGACTACGACGTAAGAGCGAGGAACGCAACGACCAGACTCGGCGAGATCGACGTGAAGACTGACTGACTGCGAAGGCACGCGAACTCTGCTTCTCTGTCCTCTTCCCGAACCTTCGATCGGACGAGCGCACTGAGACCCGCGCGCACCCTACCAGGCGCGACCCTTTAAAGTCGTGCGGAAGTCACGACACTGGGGGCGGCGCATGACGAAAGGGGTCCCAGTGGCAGCAGTAGCTACTGGATACCCCCCGCCGGGCCCGCCCCCCGCACGTCTTGCTATGCACTACGCACCTACATATACATACATGTTAGTTAACCGTAGAGTTCCTACGGGGCCTAACTACCTACGCTGGGTTCGAGGGCTGTAATTCTTAACGGCGGGCCATGGTCGGGGTTTTCCTTCCATTTACAATATGTAAAACTTCAATAAAAATACAACACATACAATGAATCTATGGTTGACGACGATGTGAGGCGAAAAGGCTCGATGAGGCGACAGCTACGTTGCTTGACTCGATGACTGCGGCTTCATTCGGCACGACACGAGGCGAAGACGACGTAATTGACCAACGACGTAAGACTTGGCGGTGGAGCTGCTCGACGACATCAGAAAATTACGGGACTTTTTAATGCCTACGTGCGAGTTTTGCCTCACACTACGGGGAATACTTTTGTGCGAGGCCCCCCCCCCCGGGGGGGGAGATTTTTACCATCGTAGAGTCGAAAGAAACATGGTCAATCAAGGGGAAAGAAAGGAATCCAGGGTTTGAGAAAAAGAATTAGCGGTCTCACACCGCGTCCAGGGAGGCTGCAACGCAGCGCGATTTCAACACTTACGGTGAGTAGCGTAACATGCTCCATAACAAAGACTACAAAGAACGAGCTGAAAAGCTGTCTACGCGGTTAGGACTGAAAATAATAACTGATTAAATACCTCGGACCTACGGTCCGTACGAAACTACGCTGTATAAAAATAATTTAATCATTTACTACGAGGGAATGTGAAACTTGCGTACTACGATGAGTACGATGATAAATCATTGCCTATGTGCGACTATGACACAAGAAAAGAGTAGACCCTTAAGTTGCTTCTCTCCCCTGCTGCTCCCAACTTACCTGCCCTGGTAATTCTTTGACTTGGTTGCCATGGGAACGGATCGCAGATTCCAAATGGTTCGCCTATGCGAGCCATCCTGGGGCGCGAGAGGGAGGAAGGGCACGCTGATGTTTCGCGTGTAATGTGACAAAACTTAGGGAAAAAACAGAACTTTGTATAATGTGAATAGACGTAAACTACGACCTATACTACATGCGCTAATTAAGGGGAGATGTGACTTGTATCTAACATTGGGGCAACGAATTGCTCCAATGAGAGATACATAGTGGAGGAATTAGATTAAGTTGTGGTACGAGTACTAAACTGAGATGTGTATAATGTAATTACTAAACTACATAAGTGCAAGTGCGAAAGAAAGGGTGCTTGTATCCTGCACTGGCGCAACACCCGCAATGCTTCGGCATTGCTACAATGAAAGATACACAGGAAGGAAGAAAATCATGTTTTTTGTCTACGTCGACGGCCGAAACGACGGAGAGCGCGATGGCGTGCGCTGCGATGTATCTGCATTTATGCTAAGGCTTGGTAAGAAGTGTGGTAGTATCCTCGTATTTCTCCGTGGATGCGATGATATGGTCTAAATTCTGCATGACCTGATCGAGATCAAAATCCGAATTGGTTTGGAAACTCGAGGTCGTGCAGTTTACGTTGAATTTCCGACGGGAATTTGCTCTTGACTAGGTCAAGAAGCGGCAACACCGTACGGAAATCTTCATATCTACGCAAACCATGGAGAATACCGGATATACGGAACCAGGTATTAACGCAGGTCTTGACCGTTGTTACGAGCTGCGGGCAGTTGCTGAAGTTGCTTATGAAGAGTTGCACGGGTCTTATATGGACGATCGTAACGGCTCTTCAAAGCCTTCACCAACTCAAGATAATTGCACTCGTCGGGGTCAAGGTCCTGGAGTACTACCTGGGCCTCGCCTTGAAGTAGACTTTGTAAGTACAGAAATTTGTAAACCGATGGCGTATTAGGTCATTATGCACTGCGAGCTCGAAAAGCGCACCAGAATCTGTGAAACTTTGTGATATCACCTGTGAACGGCTCGAGCGTGAGCTTGCCATGTTGTATTGCAGGCTGCGCTGAGGATGTTGGCTGCAGGGGTTGCGGTTGTACTACGGGGTTGGTATTGCATGTAGTGCGGCGACAAACTGGGCGCGTCGACTGTGCGCTGCGGCAGTGCATACGAACGAGTGGTGTCACTCGCAGAAGATGGCGTTGGCGAGTGTTCCCGTTGATCTTCTTGATTGCGTACGGGTGCGAGTTTGTGTCGTATCTGAAAGCGACTTGAGCTGATTGGTGTCAATAAGCGTGTTAACTTCATTTAAACGTACGCTAAGTGACGATATTATTGATTCAGCTGTCGCAATAGCGCCATCTACGCGAGATTCCTGAGCAGAAATTTCTTGGGCGTCGCTGTTCTCGCCCTCACTAGCTAAATTTTTTACCACGTCTAAAAACGCTTGGCGTTTCTCCGTAAGCGTGCGCTGCGCTGCGCGAACTTGCGTTAAATAGGATTGTATTGTAGCTCGACGTAGCTCAAGCGCCTGCAGTGACCCACTACTTTGAAAATCTAACCGACTGGAATACAGATGCTGGGATCTTACCTTTTACGGTTTCCCAATTTGGTAATTGCTTGGTTAAGCTTGGCCTTACTAGCACCGAGAATAGACATTTTGAACCGTGGCAGGAGGTGGTACTGCCGTACCCAATCTAAAAACTAACTACAATGAATGTGTGTTAGTCCGCAGGGTGGCTATTGGCCACTAGCCCCCTACGGCGGCAAACGGGAGTGTATGGCGAACGCTGGCCAGGTAAGAGACACCGCGATGAATTAACGAATGAATGGCATGTGAGAATACAAGGGGTTAAGGAGCAGAGAGGTGATGCATAAAGGGCACTATGATAAACAGGAATGCTATGTACACACGACGAAATCTGCGGCATATGCAATATGCATTAGCGTATAACAGCAACACGGGATCATGCCTGGGAAAAACAACAGGTCCATGCCCGGGAGGCCTCTAGTACAGTAACAACTGCACCGTCGCAACTGATTCCCGTCCGTACGGAGTTAACGCTGGTTCGACGTATAAGAGTAGTGAGAACCAGGTCCACACGAAGGAAAAGCAGGGTAGCCTATATATGCAAAAGCTATGTATTGACATACGCTTCGGAACGTCAGTGCGCGACTGCTCTCCCAATGCTCGAAGGATTGTTGTGGCGAGCGCGGTTAGGCTCGATACTCCCAACTTGGTTTCCCACACGTTGAACCCAGTCCGATGCACCATGTCGCGCCGGCATGGACGCCTTGCTCCTCGCATAAGCTCAGAAGCATCGGGGTTCACCCTGCTTAGGAGCGGCGTTCATGTCGGCGTGAGGGTACGATCGGGGACTTACGCTGCGCCCGCTCTCGCCACTGTCCACGCGGGGGTTAATACACCAAAGGCCCTAGCAGCCCCTATGGTTACCACTGGCTACCCGAACCGATTGACCTACGCCATGCCAAACAAATATGGACTACGGCCATCGCGGCCTACGACGGTGGCCCTTAAACCTAGCCTACGAACGTTTCGTATAGTATATTTTAACACTAGCTCGAGCATCTGTAAAACAAGTACACTACGGTAGAATCACCGTTTGATGACTTAATAAACAACACACAATAAGAACCATAGATTCATGTAAACTCTACTATAAGCAAATACTATGAAAAAGAATGATAAACACTTCTACGATATGAAAGCCACGACCTACGAACTCACGGGTCGAACCCAGTGCTCAATCCTTACGGGGGGAGACTGTAAGGGTGCATCTCGGCATCAATGCCCGTCCTCCTATCTGACTTCCACACATGGATACCAAACGGCGACGTACGACGAACAGCAGGACTACGACGTGAAGAGCGAGGAACGCAACGACCAGACTCGGCGAGATCGACGTGAAGACTGACTGACTGCGAAGGCACGCGAACTCTGCTTCTCTGTCCTCTTCCCGAACCTTCGATCGGACGAGCGCACTGAGACCCGCGCGCACCCTACCAGGCGCGACCCTTTAAAGTCGTGCGGAAGTCACGACAGAAGTAAATGTGGTCTTTTTCAAAATTCATTTTGCAGTTGATCGACCTTGTT